ATATTGTCCTCACTTAAATTTGGCACTTTTTTAATAATAAAATAAAATTGGATATCTTAGACTGTCTGGTACTGTATTAGATTCATCTTAATAAGCTCTACAACTTCAATTAGAAGTTTAAAGGTAGTTAATTTAGTATAAAAAAAAAGTTTAGAATGATGCAGTCTATATTCATAAAACCCTAATTTTTATATATAAACTGCATCATATTATACTATAACCTCTCTCTGGTTGACTGGCAAATCACCAATTAAATTAACTTGTTGCTTTTTTTTTTTGCTCAACTTCAGAATCAGTATACACTTTTAATTTTTTTAGTTTAATTTTTTTTTTATAATTAAATTAGCTGCTTTTTTTCTTTTGCTTAAATTCAGGATCAGGTATATGCTTTTAATTTTTTTGTTTAATTTTTTTATTAAATTGACTATTGTTTTTTTTTCTTTTGCTCCTTGTTGCTTTTTTTTTTGCTTAACTTCTGAATCAAATGTGTATGCTTTTAATTTTTTTAGTTTGATTTTTTTTTATTAAATTAACTGTTGTTTTTTTTTTGCTTAACTTCAGGATTAGGTATATGCTTTTATTTTTTTAGTTTAATTTTTTTTATTAAATTAACTGTTGTTTTTTTTCTTTTGCTTAACTTTAAAATTGATATATATTTTTAATTTTTTTAGTTTTTGTTTTTTTTTTAATTAAATTAACTTGTTGCTTTTTTTTTCACTCAACTTCAGAATTGGGTATATGCTTTTAATTTTTTTAGTTTAATTTTTTTTTTAAATTAACTTGTTGTTTTTTTCTTTTGCTCAACTTCAAGATTGGTATATGCTTTTAATTTTTTTAGTTTGATTTTTTTTTTATTAAATTGTTGTTTTTTTTGTTTAACTTTAGGATTATATATATGCTTTTAATTTTTTAGTTTAATTTTTTTTTAATTAACTTAATTTGATGCTTTTTTTTTTTTGTTCAACTTTAGGATCAGGTATATGCTTTTACTTTTTTAGTTAAATTAATTGTTAATTTTTTTTTCTTTTGCTCAACTTCAGAATCAGGTATTTCACTCTTTTATTTTCTTTCATCTATTTGTCTATTCTTTTAATCTTTAGTTTTTTCTTGCATTCTTCTTTTTTCTTTGTTCTTCTGTTTTTTTTTCTTTTGTTTTTAGTTGTTATTTTTTTTTCTATTTTTTCTTTTATTTTTTATTTTTTTATTTTTTCTTCTGTTTTTTACTTTTGTTTCTTTCTTTTTTTGTTTTTGTTTTTATTTTTTTGTCTTTTTTTTGTTTACATATTTATTTTCTGTTTTCCTTTATCTATCTGTTTTTTCTTTTACTTTTTTGTTTTTTTTTATTCTTCTGTTTTTTTTGCCATTCTGTTTCTCTTTTATTTTTCTTTTGTTCTTTTTTTTTTCTTTTTTTTTAGCTTTAATTTCAGAATCATCGTATTGTTATTAAAGTCACTTTGTTGTTGGTATTGTTTTCTTGGTAGTGATACTTTGTTATTAGTATTGTCCTTTTTGATAGTAAAGTTTTTATTGTTAGTGTCATAATCTTTATAGTGAGCTTTCTTCGTTGGTGTCATTGTCTTTGTGGTGAAGTTTTTGTTATTGGTATTATCATCTTTATAGTGAAGTGAAGCTTCATTATAGTAAAATCAGACTTTTTGATAAAGTGAGTAGTTAGGTGTTTTTTCATTTATTACACAATGATATTCATTACACAACAATATTTATTTTATTTTTTTATTTTTTTATTTTTTTGGTGTTAAGGTGGCCTCTTGGCCGGCTCCTTTTATTCGGTTATAGTTAACTTTTACAATATG